TGCTGCTGCTGCTGCTGCTGCTGCTGCTGCATCCTGATCTCCAGGTTGCCGAGTCGGTCGCTTTGCTCTTTTAGGAGTACCGACATTTGCAGCAGTAGCTGGACTGGGTTAAGGTGGGGAGGTGGGCCTCCCAGCCCGGCTGGCGCGGCTCCGCCCGCGTTCTGGTCGCCTCCTGCTGCCGGGGGCGCGTTGTTGTTTCCCGCCGCCGCCTGTTGGTTTCCCACCNTGCTGCTGCTGCTGCTGCTGCTGCTGCTGCATCCTGATCTCCAGGTTGCCGAGTCGGTCGCTTTGCTCTTTTAGGAGTACCGACATTTGCAGCAGTAGCTGGACTGGGTTGAGGGGGGGAGGTGGGCCTCCCAGCCCGGCTGGCGCGGCTCCGCCCGCGTTCTGGTCGCCTCCTGCTGCCGGGGGCGCGTTGTTGTTTCCCGCCGCCGCCTGTTGGTTTCCCACCGCCGCTGCTGGCTGGTCTCCCGCTGCTCCTGCCTGTCCGCCACCGTGGGGAGCTGCCGCTGCTGCTGCTCCTCCGCCGCCGCTGCTCTGTTGTTGGTTAGCTGCGGGCGGTGGTCCGGGCGGCGGTGGTGGCGGTGGAGGTGGCGCTGGCTGCGCTGGTTGCGGCTGCTGGGGGGGACCCTGACCCTGCTGCTGCGGGTTGTTGCCGTTGTTCATCACTCCGGCCTGTCTAGGACAGGATCAAAATTCGATCAAGTCCCAAACGAAAACTCTTTTCTCTCGCTGCTGCTTTGCTGCACTGCCTTTGCGGGCGATGCAACGTTTTTCCCTTCGAGGTCCTCGGCTTCCCAAGGATCCCAAAAGCTTCTGCCAAACTCTCTCTCTTCTTTGTACCCTGTGTATAGCTATACCCCCGTGTACCACTTATTATCTCGCCGCTCTTTCACGAAATTTCCGGAACGCTTCCACAAACCACGGATTCACGGTTGTACCGAATCCTTCGTGCTCGCTGCTGGCGGTGGAAAGTGACAGTCCCGTTTACAACTTGCACAGCATACCAGGGTTCGGCCGTGCTAGGCCCTGACCTGTAATGCTTATTTCTTGACATTATTATGCACGTTTGCTGTCTGATCTGTGAACTTGAAACTAAAGAGTTAAAAGACCAAGAGGCTTTGTTTGAAGGGGATAAAAAAGCTCTGTTTTGGTTACAATGAGCTGTCTGAGCGTCTGAGCCACCCCTTACCCCCATCTCACTCGTGCATAATCACCGCTATGCACGACAACCCCTGTTATGCACACTTTTATGCATAAAAAAATGTATATATATGCGCGCTCCAACTTATGCTTTTTTTGCTTATGCACGAAAAGTCCGGTTATGCATAAACATAAGCATGCATAACAGGTCAGGGCCTAGGCCGTGCTGCTATAGGGCATTGGCCGCGCGTCATCCGTGGGCGGCGGCGGTCGACTATCCGGCCTACTCGGCAGCCGCGGCTCTGGCAGTGCCTCGGGCGGTGCCCCCTCCGGGTGGCCTGGCGCTGGTTCTTCGGAAGGTGGCGGGTCAACCAGTGGTGTGTCGTCGGTTCAGAGCGCAGGAAGACACCAGGCTAAATCCAGACGTGTGTCGACTGGCATCAACGGCAACGAGAGTTCAGCTTTTGGTACATCACACAGTGGCGGTAGNTGGCCTGGCGCTGGTTCTTCGGAAGGTGGCGGGTCAACCAGTGGTGTGTCGTCGGTTCAGAGCGCAGGAAGACACCAGGCTAAATCCAGACGTGTGTCGACTGGCATCAACGGCAACGAGAGTTCAGCTTTTGGTACATCACACAGTGGCGGTAGCAGGTCCGGTGGTCCCACGGGCGGTGGTTCCACTTCGACCGGGGCGAGCACCACGACCTTCCGCACCCTGGGTAAGCGCTCTGTTCAAGAGCGCCACAACAGCGAGGAGTGCCACGAGACGGGCATTGGCAGGGAATCAACCATCAACATGGAGATGTCCGGACAAAACCTCTTCGATGCGCTTGACACTGCGCTGGTGCCCAAGGCGGCGAAGGCCGCGCTGTTGGGCCTTTTGCTGCAGCTCATCAGCCCCGACGTGGTGAGTGGTTTCTTTTATCATGAGAAGAAGGGTAGTAAAAAGTATCGTCTTGTTTTTTTTTCTTGTTCGAGTGGGAGTGGAGCATGCACGCGCTGGTGGACTGATCTTAGAATCACTACCCATTGGTTTTTTTGTTTGTGTATCTGTGGGGAATGCTTGGACTTCGGCCGCGAGCCTAGTTGCAGGGGTCTAGGATGAGGTAACTGTTGTATCGTTGCGTAGCCTTGGCATCGGGTTGAGAGCAGGAGGCATGGGCTCTGGTCTTTATTTCTGAGTGAGGTTCTTCCTGTTTTCTCTTCGTTTTTTTTGCCGATTTCAACCCCCGATTTGTCATTTCGCCATTTTATATCGCATTTGATGTTCCTCTTCGCTGATTAATAGGTGTGTACGGCTTCTGGGGCTGGTTGCCCTGTGCCCACGGGAGGCGTCCGCGTTACTCGCACCGGTCCATATGTTATTTGACGAAACCTTGCCACCCAAACTTCACGCGCAAACACTTCCTGCCTGTACGCGATAGCCACATTGTCTATCGTCCATGTTCCTGTGTTTTCTCGCCCATGTACTACATAGTGTGCGCGTCGCCTTACTACATCAGGAGACATTCGCTCGCTGTCTTTGCTCGATCACAGGCCAACATGCTCGGCGGCGAGTCCTCCAAGAAGACAGTGGGCCCCGGCGAAAAGACTGCCCGCGGGGTCACTGCGAAAGTCATGAGTGTTTACGCCTATGGGTTCGTCGGCCCCGCCAGGATGCAATTTTCCGGCGGGGGGCCCACCAACGCTCTGACAAACCCTTTCCTCGCGTTGGGTTCTCACGCGTGGCCGGGAGCGAGGCAAAACCTGAACACCTTCCCCGGTGATCCTGGTTTCCGTAGTTGTTGGTGTACTACCCTGAGGTTCAGCAATCCTGTCGCTGCATGGTAACGCATTCTGGCGTTTGTTTGCAGACCGTTCAATATTTGTTTTCACGTGCGCAACTCCACTGTCATATAACCCTAACCCAGCGGCGAAATCCCGACATTAATACTACAATATTAATTCTGTTTACAGAGAACGTCTTGCTCGCTCGACCTCTCACAGAGCCACGTGTCCGTCTGTCCGCGATGTCCTGGAAATTTCCCGCGCTTTATGTGGTCGTGTCATTCCGCCCCTTCGTCTGTATGAACGTGTTGTCGCGCTTCGTCTGCCTTCACTGTTGAACTTTGTGAGGTAGACTCAAATGACCCATGTGCTGTTTCGTCCTCTCTGCACCCACTGCCACAGCCATATTAGTGAAAGCAGTAGTCTCGGCGAGGACGGAACTACACGCAGAGATCCGCAACGCCATCGCTGAATTCCTCATCCCTCTCATGGAAGAGGAGGCATCCACGAACAACCCGATGACCGGCGCGGACCTCCTCCGTGGCGTCCGCGAGCGGATAATGGACGTCGACCCCGAGTCGGAGGTAAACGACTCAAAAACGAGCCTACCAAACTCTTCTGGTCAGCGCGCAACGCTCTCCTACGTCCCGTTCACAACTAACCCCTTTTCCCTACTATTTGTGTGAACTCGGCCTTCCCAGGAACTGACTGGCCTGATGTCCCGCATCATGTGGCGCTTTACCAAGGCGCACCAAGCTTCCACCCGTAAGGCCCTCACCTTGGGGTTCCTCTTGGGACCGGAGAGACTGAAGGACGACTTCCTTGGACAGGTGACGAAATTGTTGCGTGCACTCCTACTTGTCTGTAGACCTAGCGCCCGTTTATTTGTTAACGCGACGCAGGCTGCTAGCATGTGCCTGCAACCCGAACAGGTTATCGTATTCCAGGACTAGAGCCCACATTATATGCCTCCGGTAGCGCGGGCGAGCGGTAGCAAGTTGAAGGACTTCCCATGGCATTTTCTTTGTGGGCTCTGGTTTCGTCTTTCCCCTCGTCCTCTTGATGACACCCTTCTTTTGTCTTCCCCCTCATCCTCTTGATGACCCTCAATTGCACATCAGGTTGTCACTCCCGCATTGCTGCACGCAGCTAACGACATCGCGGACCTTCCGGTCAACGAGATCGGCTCCCACGAGACAATTGTCNTTTGTGGGCTCTGGTTTCGTCTTTCCCCTCGTCCTCTTGATGACACCCTTCTTTTGTCTTCCCCCTCATCCTCTTGATGACCCTCAATTGCACATCAGGTTGTCACTCCCGCATTGCTGCACGCAGCTAACGACATCGCGGCCCTTCCGGTCAACGAGATCGGCACCCACGAGACAATTGTCTGCAAGGTCACCCGGAAGTCGAGAGCCTGGATCAAGCTATCTGCCGGCGGCTTTGGTTCCGCCAACGCCCGGGCCTTCCAAGAGAGGTAAGCGATGATCCCAATGACCTGCATTCCCGGAGTCACAGTAGTATTAGGGCACGTTAGCGTCTTCCACAGAAAAGATAGATTAGAGTTAACCTCCGTTATTGTCGCGACAAAAAATATTTTCTATCCGTACCATACGTGTTTTGGATGGCGGTCTTCATATTAGAAGAAACTTTTACTCTTCATGATGGCTGTTGATGACCATGTGTAGCACACATGTGGAGCGACAAACAACTGATCCGAATCGGTGCGCACCCCCCCTCTTCCCCACGACGGCCCGGCCCAGCCTATGGTACAACTTGTTCCAGTTCATGACTGGACCGCGACGCTGCACGGCGGCGATCCTTACCATCCCCAGCTCCGACTTCCACAAGCCGGAGATCATGCGCTTCCTCGCCCCCTACTTCGTCGAGAAGGACAGCCTCGATGTGCCGGAGACCCCGGCGGCAGACGTTTACGTCCAGGATGATGATCTTGAAGCATACCTCAACGACATGTTTTAATGTTTTGCGTGCGAGGGGCGGGGCCATGGCCGTGTTGATGGTATATGGCAGGTGCCCATGGAGAGTGCATCTCGAATAGCATCGGTGCATCCATCTTGTCATGAAACCTCCACTATTTGCGGGAGGTGTTGGCGTGGGCCGGCTGTGAGCTACGAATCCGTGTTTCATAAACCTTACCACTGGTACACGTTAAACGAGAAGTTGACAAGTCACGTTTTTGTGGCCGGGGGATTGGATGGATAATTAAACNGAGAGTGCATCTCGAATAGCATCGGTGCATCCATCTTGTCATGAAACCTCTACTAGGNCGAATGAATCCGTGTTTCATAAACCTTTCCACTGGTACACGTTAAACGAGAAGTTGACAAGTCATGTTTTTGTGGCCGGGGGATTGGATGGATAATTAAACTAGCGTGATGGGAGTGGTGCACGTGGGTAGCTGTCGTCGCTGCATCGAGATTGGTATGGCTCGAGCCTCGCGTCTTGATATTTCCGTATCTCATGCATGGTCCATCGAAGGAAAAGTCTTCGGGGCAGTTTTTCCCGATGTTGTAGTTTCTCACAAAGTACCTCAATTTTTTTTGGTTTTCAGTTTATTCCATCTCAAGAGAATATTCATCGTGGCAGTGTTTATTGGGTGTAAGTTACTCAGAGTCCTCCGATTTTTTTTTGTTTTAATTTATTCCATCAAGAGAAAATTCATCGCGGTGGTAAGTTACTTAGAGTCCTTCAACTTTTTTTTTAAAATCTATTCCATAGAGAGAAAATTCATCGTGGCAGTTTTTCTTGGGTGGTATAAGTTACTCAAAGAGTCCTTCAATTTCTTTTGTTTTTAACTTTTCCATCGAGAGAATTTCATCGCGTTGGTTTTTAATTGTTCCATCGAAAGAATAATTCTTCTGCGCAGTTTTATAGATTTTTTATTTTTATCTTTTTACGATGGAATCAGATAAGTTGGGGGAGAAGGTTTGGCATTCATTGCCAGCTGGCTATGCTGGGCACATGGAGCGTGTTCGTTCGTGTTATGTCGAAGAAGCATTACATATTGCGTGCAGCGTTCGGCCTCTGTACGTGCAATCGGTGACGTCATGTACCCTGTAGGGGAGGTATATATAGGGTGCCTTGAGAACCCCTCATAGTAGCAGTATCATGCGGTACGTTGTTTGTTGATGGAATTGACGCGCCGGAGTTGTACATGTATGTTACAGAGGGAGGGGGAAGCAAGGAAAGGCACGGATCAGGGCGGGGGGCGGGGGTGTGTCAAAAGNTACGTGCAATCGGTGACGTCATCATGTACCCTGTAGGGGAGGTATATATTGGGTGCCTTGAGGTCCCCTCATAGTAGCAGTATCATGCGGTACGTTGTTTGTTGATGGAATTGACGCGCCGGAGTTGTACATGTATGTTACAGAGGGAGGGGGAAGCAAGGAAAGGCACGGATCAGGGCGGGGGGCGGGGGTGTGTCAAAAGGCGACATATATGGCGTGGATGAGCTTGAGCGTGTTTGTACCTCTCGGAGCACTACAGTACATGCTGCTGCAAGGGACGACAAGGGAAAAACAAAAAAAAAGACAAATGAAACAAAAAATNCTCTCTATTCCATGCCTCAAACATCTCCCTGTACGTTCCATCTATTTTTCCCAGCTCAGTCACGTACACTTCCCTCTCCTTCTTGTACAACGGACATTCCGCGACTACATGAACACGGTCTTCGCATTCGAAGCCGCAATCACATTTGAACTCGTCGTCTTCCTCGTCTACCGTCCTATGTCTTCGTCGACGTTCTCGAAGGCCTATGCCCCCGGTCCTGAGTTTGACCTTCAGCTTTGTTCCTGTGTCCATTGGTCCATGTAGGTAGTCCTTGAACCCTATTCCTTCCTTCAACATTCCGTACACTTCTAGACCCTCCTTATCCTTGG